AGACTGGAGTGCAGTGGCAAGATCTCAGCTCACTGTAACCTCTATCTCCCGGGTTCAAGCGATTCTTCTGCCTCAGCTTCATGAGTAGCTGGGATTACAGGCACACACCACCATGCCCGGCTAATTTTTGTATTTTTAGTAGAGATGGGGTTTCAACATGTTGGTCAAGCTGGTCTCAAACTCCTGACCTTGTGATCCACCCACTTCAGCTTCCCAAAGTGCTGGGATTTATATTGTGCCCAGCCCCCTTCTTACTCTTAATTCCCAGGACTGACAGCAGACTTTTTTTGTTTTTCTTCCTTTCTTTCTTTTCTTTTTTCTTTTTCTTTCTTTCTTTCTCTCTCTCTCTCTCTCTCTCTCTCTCTCTCTTTCTTTTTCTTTCTTTTTTCAGAGTTTCCATCTCGTTGCCCAAGCTGGAGTGTAATGATTCGAGCTCAGCTTACTGCAACCTCCACCTCCTGGGTTCAAGCGATTCTCCTGCCTCAGACTCCCGAGTCGCTGGGATTATAGGCACGTCACCATGCCTTGCTAATTTATTGTATTTTTAGTAGAAACAGGGTTTCACCATGTTAGCCAGGCTGGTCTTGAACTTCTGACCTCAGGTGATTCACCCACATCGGCCTCCCAAAGTGCTGGGATTATAGGCATGAGCCACCGTGCCTGGTCTTTCTTTCCTTTCATACCTAGTCCCACAGAATATTTTACAGTTCTCGCTTTTCATACCTGCTGTTACTACCACCCTTCTACAGACTCATAATCCCTACCATATCTCTTTCACTTATGCCCTTTTGATCGTTCTAAACATTTCGCCATTTCTGAACAGGCCTTGCCCCTTCAAGTTGATTGGCCGTTTCACATTGTTGTTCTTTCTGTATGAAATGCCTTTCACTGTTTTCAGCTAATAAATTCTCCCATCCTGTGAGCTCCAGCTCAATGCCACCTGTCCAGGAAGCTTTTCCTACCGTACCTTTAGGTCATTCATTTCTTCTTTGTGGTCCCACCATGCTAGCACATACCTCTCCCTCCCTAGACTCTGAGCCCCTGAAAGACAGAAGGACAAGAACTGTGTCTTTTTTTTTTTTTTTTTTTTTTTTTTTTTGATACAGAGTGTCCCTCTGTCACCCAGGCTGGAGTACAGTGGCACAATCTCGCTCGGCTCGCTGCAATCACTGCCTCCTGGGTTCAGGTGATTTTCCTGCCTCAGCCTCCCAAGTAGCTGGGACTACAGGTGCACGCCACCATACCCCACTAATTTTTGGATTTTTAGTAGAGACAGGGTTTCACCATGTTAGCCAGGCTGGTCTTGAACTCCTGACCTCAAGTGATCTGCCTGCCTCTGCCTCCCAAAGTACTGGAATTACAGGCATGAGCCACTGCACCCAGCCTAGAACTGTGTCTTATTTATCTTTGTACTCCTAGCCTCCAACCTAGTGCCTGGCTTGTGGTAGGCTTTGACAAACATTTGCAGAATGCATGCATGCATGAATGAATGAATGAATGGCTTTGCATTCATCTTCAGGTCATCTTTGTGTATAATAACAACCCCCTGGGGGCTGTCTTTAGGGGCCAGAACTGGGCATTGGCAAATCATCAGGTTTCTCCATTTGTGAACCATGATAGATCCAATAAAACTGCTTTTTTAATAAAAAAAGAAAATTAGGACCTCCAATCCTGGAGAAAGCTGTGCTTGTTTTTATGGGTGACTCTTCCACTCGGACATTTCCAGAGTGCAATGAAGTGTGTGAGATCATACTTCTCAGGCCAGGCATGTTGGTTCATGCCTGTAATCCCAGCACTTTGGGAGGCTGAGATGGGTGGATCACCTGAGGTTGGAAGTTCAAGACCAGCCTGACCAATGTGAAGAAACCCAGTCTCCACTAAAAATACAAAATGAGCTGGGCTTGATGGCACATGCCTATATTTCCAGCTACTTGGGAGGCTGAGGCAGGAGAATCGCTTGAACATGGGAGGTGGAGGTTGTGGTGAGCCAAGGTCACGCCATTGCACTCCAGCCTGAGCAACTAGAGCAAAACTCCATCTCAAAAAAAAAAAAAAAAAAAAAAAAAAAAATCATACTTCTCGGCATTTGTTAGCTTGTTGTGGATGGGAATCAGACTCCCCAATGGGAGTAGGGATGGCCTAGCACTTTACCCAGAATTCCTTTCCTGTGTCCACTGAGGGGCACCAACCGTTATTTCCCTTTCTTCCTTGACACACCAGAGCACATCACATATGCATACTCAGCCTGACAGGACTAAGGGTAAAGGTTACATCTCTTACCTGATGTTCACCTTGCCTTGCCTCTGGAACCAAGCACCTGCAGAGTGTTCAACAAACAGGTGCTACCTGACTTGATTTCAGCTGTGTGTGTGCTTAGGTTTCCTGCAGCTGTCTGGTGGTCACATGTGCCTTGCCGAAGGGATCTGGATTGTACCTGCTGGTGATGGGCCCACCCGGAAGTCTCATGAAATTGTCCAGATGACAGATGTCTGTGTTTGAGTCTAAATTCTGTTGTGTCAGAAAACTGATGGTGATTAAGAGCATCTGAGTTCCAAATTTAACTTTAATGCAGTCTGTCTTGAGTCCCAAATATCACATTGGGAGTTATGTGATCTTTTCCCTTAGTTTCTCCATTTGTAAAATAAAGACAGTGATAGAACCTCCTTGCAAATTGTTGTGTGCATTTAATGCGATGATATGTTTTAAGTGTTTAGCACAAGGCTAAGCAAAATCAGGACTCAGTAAATTAAGACTAGTCATCATCATCATCATTATTTGACACTTTGACCTTTTTGCAATATGAGGTTTTAATAGCCCACTGGCCAGCCTGTCAGAATCCTAAACTGGCCTCTGAAATTAGGTGTCAGGGAAAGGGCAAGGCTTTACCTGCCAAGCCTCTCTCCTTAGTCACTATGCTGTCTGACATTATAGATCTCATCTAAATGTCACAAGTCACTTTTTACTATCTCTTTGGGTTCTGGAGTTTGCTAAGCCCATGGATTCACTTTTTAGAGCGTTAAAACAGAAATGCTTCTCAGAGATCATCTCATCTAATTCACTTGCTTTACAGACTGCAGAAGACACTGAGACTTCAAGACCTAGTATCACACAGCTCGAGGGAGGCAGAGCTGGAGCCAGACCAGGCCTGCAGATGGGTGGCCCTCCTCTTTCCAATGCATGTGGCCATTTAACCTGAAGCCATGCTCTTAGAAACTCAGGCTGTGCTTTCTCTGGGTCATGGAGTCCCCAGGACACTCTCCTCCTTTCTGAGCAGTCAGCTACTTTCTTCCTTTCCTGAGCAGCCAGCACTTTTGAGGTCACCTGTCAGAGACCCAAACACATCTCTTTATGGAGACAAATTGTGGGACACACACTAGTGCCATTCACTGAGGGGCCAAGGACCCAGAAGCAATCCCAACCAGAGCTTCACCCTTCCCCTTCCAGACTGAACAAACCCACCTCTACTTGCACCTTGGAAAGCACTGAGTTTTAAAAAGAATTGAGATTGAGGCCAGGTACGGTGGCTCATGCCTATAATCTCAGAACTTTGGGAGGCCAAGGTGGGCGGATCACTTGAGGCCAGGAGTTTGAGACCATCCTGGCCAACATGGTGAAACCCGTCTGTACTAAAAATACAAAAGTTAGCTGGGCGTGGCGGCGCGCACCTGTAATCCCAGCTACTCAGGAGGCTGAGGCAGAAGAATCGCTTGAACCCAGGATGCAGAGGTTGCACCAATGCACTCAGCCTGGGCGACAGAGCGAGACTCCCATCTCGAAAATAAAAAATACAGATAATTGAGATTGGACTCTTTCCACTGTTTTGCTGTGGTTCTCATTTCATAGGTGAGGAAACGGAGGCTCACAGAGGTTAGAGAACAGGCTGAGGCTCACAAAACGATCAGAGCCTCCATTTCTGTCGGGATCTCTTTGACTGCAGTGAAGTAGTTAGGGTTAGATCTGTAAAATGGAGACTAGAGTACTTGTAAAGCACGGTTGCTGTGAGCATTTGGTGAACTCATGAAGGTGAAAGTACCAGTAGAAGACGAGTCACCTAAGGGAAGAAGAAACTTCTCATTCATCTTTTCTTTCTTTCTTTTTTTTTTTTTTTTTTTTTTTTAAGAGATGAGGTCTTGCTATGTTGCCTAGGCTGGATTTGAACTTCTGAGCTCAAGTGGTCCTCCCACCTCAGCCTCCTGAGTAGCTGAGACTAAAGGCGCACCATCTCACCTACCTTATTCATTTTTCTTTTTTTTTTATCACCAGTGCCGGACACATTGTTGATAAATCAATATATTTTTAAAAACAAGCCTATGAATATATAAATTAATAAATGGATGAATGAATAAAGAAATGAGCCACCTAGCACAGGAGCCTGGAACACAAGAGGTATTCAATCAATGCTCCTCTTCCCTCCCTCACTCTGGAGGGTAGGGGCCATATGGGCAGTCTCTGTGCCTGGCACTTGGTAGGCCTGATGAATGTGTATAGGTGGAATGACCGACTCTCGGGAGCTCTGAGCCTTTGAGGTCAGGAGGAAATGTCTGTCTTTTCAGCTACAAGCAGAAGCCAGGGCTCTGAGCTCTGGGAGTCAGGCAGTGACGTGCTACCTTGGCTAGGGCTTACTGTCACTGCAGGGCAAGGGCCACCCATTGTCCAAGCCCACCCTGGCGTAGTAGTTACCCAGGCTCAGTGTGAGGCTCAGCTGCGTGCCCCAGTGGAGGGAAGCGGCAAATCCTTCCAGCTGCCGCGCTGTAGAACAGCTGGGGATGGGGCTTCGGGCACCAGTTAGCAGACAATATAATCTGCCCAGCCCGACTCAACTTCCTTCCATTCCTCCATCTCGCCTCTCTTTCTCTGTCTTCTCTGGGCTTCAAATCTCAGTGCCCTGTATCTGCTGAGTGAGTGTTGAGAAGAGTGGTTGGCATACAGTAGTTGCTTTGTAGACACTGGTGGAGTCAGTGAATGGATGCATGGAAACAGGACTGAAGGAAGAGACGGGCTGATGGATGCATGTCTATTTATTGGCACAGGGTCCTATAGGGCCAAGACCACACCCTCCACACCCTCTTTTCTGTAAAAATAAACTCTGTTCTTCCTTCTCTCTGCTCTGTCTGCTTTCCTGCTCGGTCCAGGGAGACTCAGTCACCTGCTAAGGCTTGAACCCTAAGACACAGGAACCAGAACCCCCTACACATATGCACTTCCCCTCTCAGCCCAGGGAAACAGGGAGCAGCCGGGGGCTTTCAGAGGCCCTTGGGCTTCCACTAGGAGCCATCAGTGAAGGTCAGCAGTGGTATTGGGAGCAGGGGCATGAGGAGCACAGGGTGGGGTGGGGGCAGCCCCTGGAAGTGGGGAGCTGAGTCCACCCCTAAGTGTGCATGAGCGAGCCTGGGGAGGAGCCCGGGAGGTCCACCACCCAGGCCTGCATGTCAGAGTGGGGCAGGCACTGGCAGGCCCGGTGGCCGCCAGGCTGAGTGAGCTTGGGGCCAGAGGAGGCAGACTCCTTTCTGTGGGAACTGGCCTCCCCGCCCAAACCTCTTCCAGGCAGGGTGACGTGGAAAGATGTCACAGTGAATGGTGGGGGCTCTGCTGGAGGCAGGGGCACCCCCAAAGCAGAGGCACAACGTGGTGACTGAGAAGGGACCGCACTCGTGTCACCGTGTCACCGGTGGTGAGGAGGGATTAAACCCCGCCCAGTTTGCATGTGCTTCCTTTCAACCCAGGGAGCAAACGGCCTCGTCGGGAGAGCTGCCCTGGGTCCGGGGACAACCGGCCATTTCTCCCCTGGTCCAGGTCTACCACACCTCGCACAGCTGCCCCGGGTTCATGGGGGAGCCGACGGGGCAGCTGAAGTGCTGCAGGAAGTCGCGGGAGTTGGAGAGGGTGCCCAGCACGCGGAAGCGGGCAGGGCTGTGGGGGTCAGTCACCAGCCCCTCGTGAGAGCTCTCTGGTGTGCGGACCGAGCACCACACCTGCAGGCCAGGACAGACGTGGGGGCACATGGGGTCCAGTGTGCAGCCGGGCCTGAGGGTCGGCTACAGCCATCCCAGAGGCACAAAACCACCACCGCTGCCGCCCCTCCAAGCACCTTTCAAAACTGCCCTGGACACCAGGTTGCCTGGCGCAGACTTGGTAAGGGGAAAACGGTAGCCCCGGAAGCTGCCGGCGGTGGCTCCCCGGCGGTGGCTCCCCAGCGGAGACTCTGCCTGCATCCTTGCTAAGCCACTTACTCTATCCCTGGGCTGCGTCCCAAGCTTTAGTTTCCTACATGACTCCCTCACGGGAACAGCATGAGGATCAACGTCTGCCCCCTTTGCCACCCTTTGCCCCGCCCTGTACCCCCTCACGCACGACAGCCCTGCCCTTTGTGCTATGCAAAATCCTACCAAGGCGTTCTCCTGCTCAGGCCTCTTCAGGCTGCCTTCGCGGCCCTGGCCGGCCAGGAGGCTCCGGGCACAGGCCTTCCCAGCCCCATTCCCCAGCCCCTTTGATGCGTGCCCCACTAATGACATACTCACAAGGGTATGACATGCCCTAATGACATACTCAGAAGGGAGCAGGACAAAGGGGCAGACCCCAGGCTTTCCGGCAGGGCAATACCTGGGCAAATCCCACGAAGAAGAGCTGGTGGTTGGTGAGCCCCACGGCTGGCAGCTGCAGCTCCTCCCCATGCTTTCTCAGCCACGCTTCATAAGCCTGGGGACAGAACGGCGGGCAGCGAGTCCGTCTAGGCCTGGCCCCTCCACCCAGCAGCCTTTCACCCCAGGCCGGCCGGCCTCAGCCGCTGGAGGGCTGGCGGGCCACTCACGTTGTAGGCAGCCTTCAGCCCCCCGTTGTCGGCGATGTTCTCCCCCAGCGTCTGGCGGCCGTTGAGCCTCTCGCCATTGACCTGGTATTGGTTGTACTGCTCCTCCATGCAGGCCGTGTGGTTGCGGAAGGCGGCCAGTGACTCATTCTGCCACCAGGGCCGCAGGTTCCCTTCTTTGTCATACTCGCGCCCTGAGGAGAACTCAGCTTCGCACCCCACCAAGACCAGAGCGCATCCCTTTGGGGCAGCAGCGCCCCACCCAGCCCTGGGCCATGGGCTACAGGGCCCTTGGGGGCTGCATCAATGTCCCAAGCCCTTGCACGAGTCACTGGGAATTCTAGGCTGGTGGGGACGATGCCATGGGCCCTACCTTGGTCATCAAAGGCATGTGTCAGCTCGTGACCCATGACCACACCGATGCCACCAAAGTTCAGGGCCCTGGCAGGTGAGGAATGGCAAGTGAGGCCATGGCGGGGGCACTTCTGAATCCCACCTCCAGCCCTGCTCCCAGCTCAGCCACAGGCCCAGGCCCCAGCACCCAGCCCCTCCTGCTTCAGACACACTTGGGGTGGTTGCGGGCATAGAAGGGGGCCTGCAGGATGCCTGCGGGGAAGACCATCTCGTTCTTAGTTGGAAGGTAGTAGGCGTTCACTGTCTGGGGGGTCATGCTCCACCTGGCGGAGGGAGAGGGAGATGCTGAGGCTCCCCACTCCCCCGACACTGCTCCCCTCCCAGCAGCCCTGCCCGACCTCCTGCAAGGGCTTGGGGCCTCCGGGCCTGGGACCAGTCTTGCCACCCTTTCCCCCATTGTGGGAAACCTTCCCCCAGCCCTCCTGCCACCTCAAGTGTCAACGCCCACCCCACTCATTCTCACTGGTCTCGGCTGGGAGGTTTGCGGAGCTGGTCAGCCATCACCTTAGCAGAGAAGTTGTACAAATTCAACATGTTTTGGAAGAAAGAATCTTCAGAAACTTCGTACTATGGGGAAAATGGGAAGTAGAAAGTAAGGAAGAGAATCCACTGGAGAAGACAACAGCCCCAGTTTGGCTACTCAGCACCTCTCCAAACCTCAGCGTCCTCAACTGTAAAATACCTAGTAAACTATAACTGGCAATATTTAAAGGGCATTTATGTCACAGGTGCTGGTTTTGGTTTTTGTTTTGAGACAGAGTCTTGCTCTGTTGCCAGGCTGGAGTGCAGTGGCGTAATCTCCGCTCACTGCAACCTCCACCTCCCGAGTTCAAGCGATTCTCCTGCCTCAGCCTCCCAAGTACCTGGGGCTACAGGCGTGCGCCACCACACCCAGCTAATTTTTGCATTTTTTGTAGAGACGAGGTTTCATCATGTTGGCGAGGATGGTCTCGATCTCTTGACCACGTGATCTGCCTGCCTTGACCTCCCAAAGTGCTGGGATTACAGGCGTGAGCCACTGCACTCGGCCTTACAATTGCTGGTTTTTTTTTACATACTGCCTTCATTTATCTCACAACCCTATGAGGTAGGGACTAGCAGGACCCCTATTTTACAGAAAATGAAACCAAGGCCTAGAGAGGTTTTCTTGAAGATTACAAAGTTAGGGCTAGAAACAGGATTTGATTAGGCTTGACTCCAAATCTCTGCTCGTTAACACTGTATTTCACTGCTGTTTGACCTGCAGCCTGACACACAGTCAATACTTAAAACAATGCTGGTTACCTCCCTCTGCCTCTAACAGAAACCAACACGCACCTGTTTCCCAGTGCTTGAGCCCGGATTACTAAACGCAGGGAACAGTGCCCCCTACAGGGATAAAGCAGTACTGATGAGCACAGGTACTCACCCCATCATAAACATCATCCAGCTCTTTGGGCTCCAGGATGAAGTCTGGGAAACCAATCATATCATAGATGGTGTCTGCCTGAAGAGACCAGGTTAAGAGTTTGTTTCCTTCCCCAGCTTCCTAGCAACACTGTATCCTTCAACCCCACCTCAAGATGGCGCCCCAACTATAGCCACCACTCACTTTCTCCTTGGCTGCCTGGCGGGTCTTCTCATCCATCCAAACCAGCTGTCCCAGTGCCTCCTCAAATGCAGCCCGGATTTCGCTTATCATCCCCTCTGCCTGGGAGGGAGGAGACACAAGTCAGCCTCCTCCTGCACTGAATTCATCCTTGCCCCCCATCCACCCTGGTGCCCCGCCCCTGTCCCTCCAGGGGAAATGGGAATGCCTAGACTCATGAAATATGGCTGGGCACCTGGAGAGGGTGAGAAGAAACCCATTTGTAAAGGTACTGGGATTGTGGCTGGCTTTTTTCCTAATTAAATAAATATTTTAATTGACAATAAGTTCATCAAATTAAAATTAATATTATAATTTAGTTTTGTGCAATGATTTTTTTTGGGGGGGGGCATGGAGTCTGGCTCTGTTGCCAGGATAGAGTGCAGAGGCACCATCTTGGCTCACTGCAACCTCCACCTCCCGGTTTCAAGCGATTCTCCTGCCTCAGTCTCCAAGTAGGTGAGATTACAGGCACCTGCCACCATGCCCAACTAATTCTTGTATTTTTAGTAGAGATGGGGTTTCACCATGTTGGCCAGGCTGGTCTTGAACTCCTGACCTCAGGTGATCTGCCCACCTCAACCTCCCAAAGTACTGGAATTACAGGCATGAGCCACTACACCTAGCCTAGTGCAATGATTTTTATCTGATTACAAAAAGAGGCATTCACAGAAAATTTGGTAAATCGAGAATTGAATAAGAAAACAGACTACTTATAAATCACTCATTCACAGATAAGTCCTTTGAACTTTTTTTTTTTTTGAGATGGAGTTTCACTCTTGTTACCCAGGCTGGAGTGCAATGGCGTGATCTCGGCTCACCGCAACTGCTGCCTCCTGGGTTCAGGCAATTCTCCTGCCTCAGCCTCCTGAGTAGCTGGGATTACAGGCACGCACCACCATGCCCAGCTAATTTTTTGTATGTTTAGTAGAGACAGGGTTTCACCATGTTGGCCAGCCTGGTCTTGAACTCCTGACCTACTGATTCACCTGCCTCAGCCTCCCAAAGTGCTGTGATTACAGATATGAGCTGCACCAGGCCCCAGTTGCTTTTCTCTATGTCCGTACATATATGAACAGTTAATTTTAAATAAAACAGCGCACAGTGTTGAAAGTATCTCGTAGACTCACAATTTCTTTGCTTTGCCGGTCGAATGTGGCCTTCACGAAGAGGGAGCCCAAAGCAAAGCCAAGGGCGTCATCTGTGTGGGAGATGCAGGTCTGCCACCGTGGCACACACGACTGTGAAGAGACAAAGAGCCAGGCCCCAGGGATGGCTGTGTTCTCCAGTCAGAGGGCCTTTCCCGACTCTGGGGCTAAGCAGCCCTTCTCAGTTCTAGACAACAGAGTCCTGGGTTTGCTCACTGCCACATTTGTCTTTTTTTTTTTTTTTTTTTTTGAGACAAGGTCTTGCTCTGGAGTGCAGTGGTGCAATCACTGCTCACTGAAGCCTCTGCCCCCAGACTCAAGCAATCTTCCTACCTCAGCCTCCCAAGTATCTGGGACCGCAGGTGCATGCCACCACGCCAGCTATTTTTGTTTGTATTTTTAGTAGTGATGGGGTTTCACCATGTTTCCCAGGCTGGTCTCGAACTCTTGAGCTCTAGTGATCTGCCGCCTTGGCCTCCCAAAATGCTGGGATTAAAGGCATGAGCCACCGTGTCCAGCCTGCAGTTGCCTCTTAACTGGACACCCTGACTCCATTCTCATCCTCCCTTCCCTGCAGCTCCCTCCATCTTCCATTTAGCCACCAGAAAGGTCATCTGATGCATAACCTAACTGTGTTTCTCCTCTCCATGGCTGCTCCCATGGACCCCCTTCTGTGAAGGAATCAAGGCCGAACTTCTTGCCACAACACTCAGGTCCCTTCACGAGTGCCCCATGCCCACCTTGCCAAACCCCACTCGTGAAGGGACAACCCCACCTCTCAGTCGCCCTCTTCCCAAGCTCATGCCAGAACACTGTAAAGCCACCATGTTCCTTTTGACCTCTAGGAATTTGCACATGTTGCTCCTTCTCTCTGGAATGCCCTTCTCCCCTGCTTTCCTGGCAAACTCATCCATCACATGGCACTCTTCAGAGAAGGCTTTTCTGATGCCCTTCCCCCCCAGGTGAAATGTGCAGTCTCACCTCTGTCTTGTTGTACAACGGTCTTTCACTCAACGTGAGCACTTACCACCACAAAGTAGAATGTGCTTGTTTGCATGTCCACTCCCCACACTTAATGGGGAATCTTGAAACGGAATAAGGCACTGATTTATTATATCTTCTCCATTCTCATCATCTAAGATGAGTGCCTATACATACCATGTGCTATGCAGGTGCTTCCCTTACATTCATTCTCCTAATTATCTTCCCTACAACCCCCCAAGTTATTCCTGTTCTACAGAGCAGGAAATAAAGCATCAGAGAGGCTAGGTGACATGCCCAAGGTCCTATAGGCTAGAAAATGAATGAGTTGTGATTGGAACCCGATTCAGCTTCATTCCAAATTCTACGCTCCATACTATGCACCTGTGCATCATGAGGCAGTGACGTGTGCAGCATCGGCTGGACTGGGTCAGAATGGGGAGGCAAAGTCAGAGAGCCCACCTTCTTAGTGCCGTACAGGGTCTCCAGCAGCTTCTCTTGTGCAGACTCAAAGCGTCGGTCCAGGCTCGAGGTTGTCTTTTGCACCAGGTTCCAGATCAGGTAATTGTTCAGGATGCTGGCACCCAGACCAGAAAATAAGAAAAGGGCAGGTGGGGTGCTCTTCCCACGCCCCACACCAGCCCCCCCAGGAACACACAGGCTGCAGGAGTCCCAAAGGGCATGTGTGGAAACTGAGCTGTTCCAGGGTCCCTCGTTTGCCCCAGGGCCACACACCTGCCTGTAGAGGTCAGGTTGGAGAGAGGTGTGGGAATAGCACCCCAAAACCCTAGCGCAGAGGAAAAGCCCAGAGACATTCTAATTCGATGCTTGGAAGGCTCACAGAATTACCAAATGTTGTTCTGTCTGGCTGTGCCAGTCTGCTGTGCCCAGCCTAGGTAGAGACCTCCACGGAACCCACCCTAACCTTGGGCTCCCCCCACACCTGGGTTCCGTGCGGTTGATGAGCTCTGACACCTGCTGCAAATAATCCATCCCATACACCACCACGGGCTCAGAGTCACTCAGCTCCAACGGCGACAGCAAGAAAGACAGAAACTCAAGCCAGTCCATGGAGGGCGCTAGAGCCTGAGAGAAAAAAAATCTCAGGCCTCGCCTGACTCGCTTCCAGCAGAACCTCCCCCAGTGTATGCTGTAGCCTGGGAGCCCTTCCCATTGCCATAGCAACAATGCTGGCTGTGCAGTGACTCCTTCTTGTCATGTACCCTTTTCCAGGCCTGGATACCTCCAATCGGGGAGCCCAGCCACTTATTACACAAGGAAAACCACCACGTGTGCTGTTCAGCTGGGGCCTAGATATTCAAATATTTTCCTAACAATTGATAAAATGCCACTCCCCTGACACCCCCTACCTACTGGCTTCTCCTCCAGAACCGCATCCCATCCCAACTTTTCCATAATCCAACACCTAAAGTGTTAATGGCCTGGCACGGTACAGGCCCCCCAGTAGAAACTTCCATTCTATTCTTTTTTTTTTTTTTTTTTTTTTGAAACAGAGATTCGCTCTTGTCGCCCAAGCTGGAGTGCCGTGGCGTGATCTCAGCTCACTGCAACCTCTGCCTTCCAGGTTCAACTGATTCTCCTGCCTTCCGGGTTCAACTGATTCTCCTGCCTCAGCCTCCCAAGTAGCTGGGATTACAGGCATGTGCCACAATGCCCAACTAATTTTTGTATTTTTGGTAGAGATGAGGTTTCACTATGTTAGCCAGGGTGGTCTCAAACTCCTGACCTCAGGTGATCCACCTGTCTCGGCCTCCCAAAGTTCTGGGATTACAGGCGTCAGCCACCACACCCAGCCTATTCTGACTGTTTTGTGGACATCTCATATAAGCTATTATACTTTTTTTTTTTTTTTTTGAGACAGAGTTTCGCTCTTGTTACCCAGGCTGGAGTGCAATGGCGCGATCTCGGCTCACCGCAACCTCCGCCTCCTGGGTTCAGGCAATTCTCCTGCCTCAGCCTCCTGAGTAGCTGGGATTACAGGCACGTGCCACCATGCCCAGCTAATTTTTTTGTATTTTTAGTAGAGACGGGGTTTCACCATGTTGACCAGGTTGGTCTTGATCTCTCGACCTCGTGATCCACCCGCCTCAGCCTCCCAAAGTGCTGGGATTACAGGCTTGAGCCACCGCGTCCGGCAGCTATTATACATCTTTAACACAATCCCTCCATGCATGCCCCGGCAACAAGAAAGGGGCCAAAGGATGGCCATTTAGGCCAAAACGAGAGGTGGCCTAAATGGATACCATTTTTCTTCCCAGGAAAGCAACAGTGCAACTGGGAAGCACAGAAAAGTGAGGGAATGAGGAAAGGGCTGGCTGCCAGGGGAACACGGCATGGACGGAAGCTGGGTGGTCCGTGTTGGGGCTGGCCCCTCTCACATGTCTCCAGTCCCCTGCCTGCCCCCTGCCTGCCCCACCTGCAGCTCTGAAATGCTCATCTTGTGATAGATCTTCTCCTCGTCGCGCCGCTCGTCCTGGGGCACCGTGATGTTGGCCAGTTGTATCTCCAGCTCCAGCACCTGCTGCATCTGCTCCCTTGTGGAGGCGGGCCGCCCGCCCAGCAGCACCCCCAGCTCCTCCATGTAGTCCAGATAGGCAGTAAGCACCTGTCAACGCCCGGGTGATCCTCAGAGCCCAGGAACAAGTCTTGCCCAAGGCTGAGATCTGTTCTCACCACCACCTCTGCTCACTATTTCTTCCCTTCACGCTTCTTCTGGAAGCCTTCCTGGATGACCTGTTTCATTTCTGACATACAGCTTACTGCCATCGGCTAGGTATTGTTTACTTACTTCTGTGCTTGTTTATCACCTATTTCCCCAGGGAGAAGGTGAGCTCCAGCAGAGCACCGTGCCAAGTTACAGTAGCTTACTCGCCACTGTGTCTCTAGGGCCTAGGACAGAGGAAGTGCTCTGCAAATGTTTGTCTGGCGGATGAGCCTCTTCTCATACTGCTTTGCCTTCTTGTTTCCTAGATCTCTGCTAGTTGTCCCAGCCCCTCAATGACCATGTGCCTTCACGGAACAGCTGATTGGACCTCACAGGGAATCGGGGCCATGGTGTCCTCAGGTCTCTTCTACCTGTCATCCTGCCATGCCTCAAGCTTGCTGCTTTCTCCACTACCTGCTGGTCTCCCAGGGAGAGAAAAACATGGAAAACAAATATTTAGGCCGGGCGTGGTGTGTTGAGAGCGAATTCTGACGTGTGTGATAAATCACATTGTTTGCTGAGGGCGGCGGCAAGGAAAAGCTAGTCGGCCCCTCAGAGCAGAAAACTGCGTAAGATGTTCTAAAACAGTAACCAATATGAAAATGTCTCACACCAGATGAATTAGTTCTTTGAACACAGGATATGTGACACTACCTCAGTTGTTCCCTCGTAAAGAGTGCTTTCTAGTTTATCTTTAAAATACAGTGAACATACACTAGCTGCCTGGTTAGTTTACCTTTAAGCTGTGAAAGAACACAGAGCATCTGCTTGTTACACCTGTCACTGGAATGTGAAGAATAAATATGCCCAGAGTCTGCTCTGGGCTTTCAGCTAGCAATGCTGTCAGCCCCCTGATCACCCACCTTTACTTTCTATCTCTGTGTCTGTTTCTTAATTCCTTCAGCGCCGCCTGGGTTGGGGTCTCTGAGGCCAAGCTGGTCTCGGCAGCAGTGGCTCACACCTGTAATCCCAGCACTTTGGGAGGCCGAGGCAGGTGGATCACCTGAAGTTGGGAGTTCGACACCAGCCTGACCAACATGGAGAAACCCTGTCTCTACCAAAAATACAAAATTAGCCAGACATGGTGGCACATGCCTGTAATCCCAGCTACTCAAGAGGCTGAGGCAGGAGGATCACTTGAACCCAGCAGGCAGAGGTTGTGGTGAGCTGAGATCATGCCATTGCATTCCAGCCTGGGCAACAAAAGCAAAATTGCATCTCAAAACAAAAACAAAAAATGAAATATTTAGTGACCACTTCTGTAGACATGCATCAGACTCTCTGTTAGAGGCTTTCCACACAGTGTATCTTTTCCTCGTCACACAGCAACTTCATGAAGTGGAGATGAGTCCCTTTTCACACCCCAGGGGACACGCTTGGGAAGGTGACATGGCTTGGCTTCCATCGCAAACCAGCAGATGGCAGAGTGAGAATGTGGCCCAGGCCTGATGACCCCACGGCCAAGATAGCCCTGGCCCTGCATGGGTCTGGTACAAACTCATGCGGCCTCATCCCAACTGGCCCTGAGGCTCCATGAAGACAGCTGTCTTTGCTTTGTTCACCACTGTAATTTCAAGTCTAAGCGCAACTGTCTGCCACATAGTAAGTGCTCAATAAATATCATTTGAATAACAGGACGAAAACCTGCAAACAGATGCTCAACACTGCTCTGTGCCAACGCCCTTGGCCCTCCTCCCAGAAACCACTTCCCACTCAACTTGAAGACCCACCTGGGCTCCCTTAATCGCCAAAGGCCATCCCCTCTTCTACTTTACAGAGAAGTTTTAGATCCCTTAACATCCATTCTCTGTATTTCAAGTTCCTCCTGTCCCTCACCTCTCCTCTTCCTTGCGCTGGCATCAGAGGAAGAGGTTTGAGTACCAATCCCTGTCATCCCAGCTCCTGAGGGGAACGGTTAGCTCAACCAGTGACCTCCCCTTACCCCTTCTCCCCTACCTCCTCACTTTCAGCTTAATGCTTACTTCTGAGGCTCTCCTGAACCCTGCTTTACTCGTAGTTTTTGTTTGTTTGTTTTTTGTTTTTTTGAGATGGCGTCTCCCTCTGTCACCCAGGCTGGAGTGCAGGGGCACAATCTCGGCTCACTGCAACATTCGCCTCCCGGATTCAAGTGATTCTCCTGGCTCAGCCTCCCCAGTAGCTGGGATTCCAGGCTCGGCCACCACGCCTGGCTAATTTTTGTATTTTTAGTAGAGACGGGGTTTTGCCATGTTGGCCAGGCTGGTCTCAAACTACATCCGCCCCCCTCGGCCTCCCAATGGGCTGGGACCACAGGCACGAGCCACTGCACCGGCCTACTCTTAGTTTTCATCCTATCTTTTATTTTATTTTTTTTGAGACGGAGTTTTGCTCTTGTTACCCAGGCTGGAGTGCAATGGCGCAATCTTGGCTCACCGCAACCTCCACCTCCTGGGTTCAAGCAATTCTCCTGTCTCAGCCTCCCAAGTAGCTGGGACTACAGGCGTGCGCCACCATGCCCAGCTAATTTTTGTATTTTTACTAGAGACGGGGTTTCACCATGTTGACCAGGATGGTCTCGATCTCCTGACCTCGTGGTCTACCTGCCTTGGCATCCCAAAGTGCTGGGATTACAGGCTTGAGCCACCGCGCCCGGCCTATTTTTCATCCTATCTTAACCTTTCGCGTTGCATCTTTCTCTAGATTCCAGCACAGGAGGCTTCTTGAAGGCAACCAGTGGCATGCTGACAGCCAAACCCGGGTCTCTCCTGTTGCCCCTTCCGAAGGGTTGAATGACGTGCTCCTCTCCCAAACTGCAAACATCTCCTCTCCTGACTCAGGTGGTATCAAAACCGCACATCTGTTCACATCCCTTTTGAGTTTCCCTTTCTATTTCCTTTGAGATGAATCCTAAATGTGGCCCACAGTGCTCCCGCACAGTGTGAGTCTACGGGCCTGTCCAGACTCCCCTCGGCCCACACTCCCCTCCTGCTCTCCCTCCCATTGAGAATGGCCAGTGGGCCATACGCCTTCCCACCTTGGAGCCTTGGCATAAGCTATTCCCTTTGCAGAGCTCTCTCCCTTCATTGCAGCCTATCCGCACCCCGGGACTAGGCAGGTTCCTGGTACACTTGCTCTCAGAACCCTATGCTTCTCCTCGATTATAGTCCTGGAAACAGGACAACTGAGTAGCAAACTGTTTCGTGTCTTCTCCTCCACTTAGAGGGTAGTAGAAATGTCCTGTTCACCACGTGCCTAGAGGAGGGTCTGGCCAAGGAATGCTCAGTAGATGTTTCTGAATGAATGCCAGAAGGATAAATGGTTGTCTTACTCCACAGCAGTCTCTTTGGCTGACTCTCTTTCTTCCACTGCCCTTAAAATACAAGGATCTCCTTCTGTCCTTTCTCCGTCCTCCTCCTGTCTCTCACCTCTTCAAAGCCTTAGTTTAGGTTTCTTTTTTCTTTTTGAGATGGAGTCTTGCTTTGTTGCCCAGGCTGGAGTGCGGTGGCACGATCTCAGCTCACTGCAACCTCCACCTCCTGGGTTCAAGCGATTCTCCTACCTCAGCCTTCCAAGCAGCTGGGATTACAGGCACCCACCACCATGTAGGGATAATTTTTGTATTTTTAGTAGAGGTGGGGTTTCACCATGTTGGCCAGGCTGGTTTCGAACTCCTGACCTCAAGTCATCCACCTGCTTTGGCCTCCCAAAGTGCTGGGATTACAGGTGTGAGCCACCGTGCCTGGCCCGTTGAGGTTTCTAAGGAGATGCACCTCAAGCTTCTGGACACTTTCAGGCTTGTTCCCTTTTCAGAACTCCACAAGGCTTTCCCAGCTGCCTGCTGCCCTCTCTGTATGTAAGGTGCCCAGGTCCCACCAAACTCACAAGTCTAAAAGGAGCAGCTTTCATACCCTGAGCATCTGCCACATGCCGGAGCGTAAGTTTGTACCCCTAACCTACTCCAGACACCCTGTGAGGTAGAAGATGCCACGATCCCCTGTTTACAGATGAGGGAACAGCTCAGAGAGATTACTCGACTTGCACCAAGCAGCAGAGCTGAGGCTGAAATCGGGCCTGACTCCAGAGTCTCTCCTATTCCTGTGGCATGGCATTGCCTCTTCTTTCCCGACGTACCCTAAGCTGGTTCTTCCTAAAGACACCCCTAATTCCCAAAGGACTCCTCCATTCCCCCATCACTCAAGTGTACAGCTTCGGCCGTCTTCACCTCCTCCCTCCTCTAACATCCAGGCACCAACAAGCCGTGATTCTGACTCGACGATGTCTCTTACAACTTCCCCTTCCTACCATTCCTTCTGCCGCCTCCTTCATTTGGGACCTTCCTGACTCAGAGCACGGAGTACCGCAGAGACTTCATTCATCTCCAGGCTTTCTTTCGCACATCTACTTTCACACCCCAAACAAACTGACTTTCCAAGGCACTGCACTCCCTCCCTGCTTCGGAGCACGCGCTGGGAGCTGCAGAATCCACTCGGAGTGTGCTATTCAGGGTTCCCTCCAGAACCCGTTCCTGCCCACCTCTCCAGCCTTTCATCTGCCTTGAGTTCTATATTTTACCACAGTGGACCCCTTCATGGTCCAAACACACTGAGCCTTTCCCTTGTCAACACTTTTTTTTTTTTTTTTTTTTTTTTTTTTTTGAGACGGAGTCTCGCTCTGTCACCCAGGCCGGAGTGCAGTGGCGCCATCTTGGCTCACTGCAACCTCTGCCTCCTGGATTCGAGCAAGTCTCTTTTTTTTTTTTTTTTTTTTTTTTTTCAGAGACCTTTGCCTCAGCCTCCCAAGTAGCTAGGATAACAGGCGCCTGCCACCATGCCTGGCTAATTTTTGTATTTTTAGTAGAGACAGGGTTTCACCATGTTGGATCGGCTGGTCTCGAACTCCTGCCCTCAAGTGATCCTCCCACCTCAGCCTCCCAAAGTGCGGGGATTACAGCTGTGAGCCACTGTGCTTGTTTAAACTGTTCTTTCTACCCAGCATGCCCTCATGTACTCCTACGTATTCTACAGGGCCGGCTCAAATGCAGTCTCTTCAGGGAGACTTCGCTGGCTCCCTGAGTCTCTCCCGAATCCTCGGGACCCTCTCGTGAGCCTTGTTCTCAGCTATCTGGGTCCATGAACCCATCAACACTGAACGCTTCCTGTGATGATGGCTCTGAAACTTACATCTCAGAATTCCCCCACTGCACCTGGCACACAGTAGGTGTCTATGAAACCTACTAGAAGAATAAGAGGAAGGAAGAAAGGAAAAGGGGAAGAAAGGGAAGGAGGGAGGAAGAAAGGGAGGAAGGGGGCAGTTAGTTCACTAGGTGACAGGACAGGCTCACCTTCCCTGCTCTGACCCTTGGCAAAGGGAAAGGTCAACAGGGATCAGCCCAGCTCAGCAAGGGGTAGGGATGGGATTCGGAGGATGTCCCTTACTTTCTCATTGGCAGTTCTGTTTAAGTAGTAATCCCGAGAGGGCAGGAAGAGCCCAGACTGGTCCACCTGCAATGGCAAGGAAAGGAGGTGAGCCCCTGCTTTCCCCACCATGGGAACCTGAACTCCCGAGCAGGGGTTGGGGTGGGGGGGTTCAGCCCAGCCTGCCTGTCACAGGGGAGGGGAGTCTGGGTTCAGCAAAAGGGTCCCTAAGCCTCTCCCCATCCTTCCCCAGCTCATCACCTGGATAACATTGCTGTTGGAACTCTTAGAGTCAGCACTGACATAGACGGTGAAGAATGGGGTAGCCCTGTAGGTCCCCGCTACTGCCTTCAACACCTCCATAAAGTTGTCCTGGTCCCAGGGCCCTGTAATGTTCCACCCGCCGATCTGTGGAGAGACCATAAGCGGAATGCATAGCACAGGAAATCCCAAAGCTTTCCGGGCCATCTCCTCTCTCAAGGCCCCTCCTGCCCTCCCCACCCATCCCTGCCACCAGCCAGCGCAGCGGCCCTACCTTGTCAATGAGGTCTCTCAGCGGCTGGGCTCCCAGCTCCTCAATGCGCTCCACCTGTAGGCAAGATAGGTAGAAGCGCTGTGTCTTCTGCTCAGCTTCACTGCTGGAGTTGAAGGTGGTGTTTTCTGTGGGGCAGAACACAGGGTCCAGGTGGCCATTATGTTCACTGCTGAGAGGGAGTCCCTGGCCCTTGCTCGGTTCCTCTCCTTGCCTTGTCAATGAGCAGTCCTCCTAATGCAGACCCAGGAAGAGTGTCTGAAACAGCAAGCCGTGGCTTCCTCTCCCCGTCCATGGAGACCCTCAAGGATATCTAAGCAGTACAGACTCCCTGGTATCTACCACACCGTGACCGTCCTCCAGACAAGTGCAGAGAAGCGCCCTCCGTGATACCCAGAGTTCTGTCCCTTCAATCCCATCCCCCCTTCTCAAGAGTCCCCTGCTCTCTGCCTCCCCACCCTCTGGGGTTCACAGAGCCACCCACTGCTTCACCATCCATGGACATTGACTATCTGCTCAGTGCCAGGCCCTGTGCTAGGCACAAGGCACAGAGGTGGCCCACGGCCTCCCTGCCAGCCCCACTCACCAAGCAAGTGCTTCAGTATGGCCTGGTTTTGGTCCCAGAGGCTGTTGAAAGTGTTCCAGCGAGAATGCCCATCAGGCAGGGGGTTCCTCCGAATCCAGCCCCCACAGGAGAACTGGTAAAAGTCCTCACAGGGGCTCACCCCTCGGTCCAGGGACTCTAGGATTTTTCCAGCCACTCGAATGCAGGCCTCTGTGAAGCAGGTGCTGTGGGATGGGTCTGTGGCAGGGGACATGGCCGGAGGGTAGGAGACTGTCAGTCTGTCTGGAAGAGGCAAACTCTTTGGAAGGGCCATGACAGCAGGAAGGTTGTGAAGAGAAAGCAAAGCCGGGGGGCTTTTCTGCAGGGAAGGCTGCCCCCCACCAGGGAAAATCTGTTTTGTTTTGTTAACAATGGTGTGATCTCAGCTCACTGCAACCTCTGCCTCCTGGGTTCAAGTGATTCTCCTGCCTCAGCCTCCTGTGTAGCTGGGATTACAGACTCACGTCACCATGCCTAACTAATTTTTGTATTTTTAGTTGAGACAGTGTTTCAGCATGCTGGTCAGGCTGGTCTCAAACTCCAGACCTCGTGATCCTCCCACTTCGGCCTCCCAAAGCGCTGGGATTACAGGCGTGAACCACTGTGCCTGGCCATCCCCAGCCGTGAAAAGCTTAGAGGCCCTTTGGCCTCCAGAACCCCTAGTTCTGAAGGCTGAAGACCAGTGTGGGCCCACCTACCTCTGTGGTACTGGACCCCCAGGGCCACAAGGCAGCCCAGAAGCAGTGCAGCCAGGAGTAGAGAGACGCCTGCCAAGACCAGCTCCAGCTGCGTGCGGGAGCCTAGCAGCTGCCTTGTCCCCTTCCGGAATCCCACCTGGGGAGCACAGGGGGCAGAGAGCCACTGAGCTGCAGGACAGGGATCCAAGACCCCCAGAGGGCGAAGCCACAGGCAGTTTCCAGAGCCATGGAGCAGAGACTAACGGGGTTAACTTTGGGCCCAGGGGCAATGAGGCCGGCGGGTGAGTTGCGCCCTGGGCCTGTTTTGTGCAACGTCATGGCTTCGAATCGCCTCACCAGAGTCCTAGAGCAGAGGCCAGAGATGGAGCGGAGGTGGGGGCAGGTGACCCTCCAGAACAGCCCAGAGCTCCTGGGTGTGCCGGGCGTCATGCCAGGGCTGGGGCCTGGTGAGAAAGGGGAAGCCCCCTGGCCCACCTCCACGGCGTCCGGGGAGGCCCCGCCCTCTACGGGGGTCTCGGGTGCGTCTTCATCCCGAAGCGTGGCCCGTTTGTACTCCACCATCTGCCGGACAGTCGGGGTTGCCAGCCGAGGTCAGGCAGAGAGGGCTGTTTGCCCACGACCCTGCCCCTTGCCCCGTGCCTCGCGGGCCCCTCCCTTCCCACCTGCCCCGCTCTCCGTCCGTCCGGGCCTGGGGTCCCCCTGTCACCTCCCCACCGGCCCCGGGACGCGGCCCTACCTCCGCCGGCCCAGCGAGCCGGGCACCACCTGCCCCTCCGCGGCCGACCCCTCTGCCTCGACCTCCACCCGGTCCCTGGAGCCCCGGGGCCCCCGCTCACGTTGCCGCCAGCTCCCAGCTCCTGCAGCGCGACGTTCATGGTGGAGTCGGGCCAGGCGGTGCTTCAGGGCTCCGTGCGGCTGGCCCTCTCCCGGGCCGCGGCCCCGGTCCCCTGCTCGGCCTCGCTGCCACCCGCCATCACGGCCGCCGCGCAGCACCCACCCGTCCCCCTCGCTCGGTCGCGGCAGCCCCCGCCCCACGCGGCGCCCCGCCCGGGCTGGGGGGAGCATGGGGGAAAGGGAGGAGCGCGCCGAGGCTCTCCGCAGGCTGCGGCTGCCCTCCAGCAACACCCGAGACCCCTCCGCGCTTCATAGTCTGCCCCCATCTCAGCAGCACCCTCCTGCAAGTCACCCATAATTTATTTTCCTGGAAAAAGTCATGAAATGCAACCAGGCCCAAACCTTGCTAATACTCCTTGGCCCACTTCCCCCAGATTTCAGGCGCTCCCATCCCCTTGAAGCACTTTAGAGAAATTATGCATTCACATCCCCCCAGGAGGCCACACAGCCCCTCTTCAGCCGACAAATCCAGAGCACACAGTTCACCCACATTCAGGGTGTGCACGCGGTACTTACCTATGTGCGGAGAGCACACAGACCCCAAGGACACGGGCAGGCACGACGCCCAACACACAGTCCACACACACGTAGACACCCACGGGATGTACACACACTGCATACTCGCACACACACAGAGCCCACGCACACATACACCGTGCTTCTGTATGTACACACAACACACGCCCCAAGTGCAGGGCAGCACACACTCCACGCACCCAGCCTACGCTGACTCCACTCTCACATGGTGCTTCAAGATCTCTTCCACTCTCCAGGATGACTGCTCTCATCAGATCATCTCATGAAGGGAGGGTTACAGATGGCGACAAATTGGCAGGGAAAAAAACAGCCATGCACAGATATTTAAAGAAAAGACGTGCTAACACTTCTAACTTGGGGAAAGCAAACCGTTTTATTTGGGAGATTTACAAGGAGAAAAAAAATTAACACCAAGCAATATTTAACTGAAAAGCAATAGTGTGGCACCCATGCATCTGCCATCTGCCTTCCATATTGTCATTCCTTAATCAGGCCTGGTGTTATTGCAGTCTGCTGCACTGAAAAGTGCCTCGTGTTTTTACAATTTGAAAAAAAAAAAAAAAAAAAAAAAAAAACGGAAAAGAGAGCGCGATTCATCTTCCTCTCCCCATCTTCCACCCCCACTGAGAGAGTACAAGAATTTGACCTGAGAAGGCTTGAACTGGTAGCATATACATAATTCATTTATTTCTTTCTTTTGTTCTTTTTTTTTTTTTTAAGAGGTGGATGTCTCACTTTGTTGCTCAGGCTGGAGTGCAATGACATGATCATAGCTCACTGCAGTCTCAAATTCCTGGGCTCAAGAAATCTTCCCACCTGAGCCTCCCTAGTAGCTGGGACTACAGACACGTGCCACTGTGCCTGGTTAATTAAAAAAAAAATTTTTTTTTGCAGGAATGGGTCTCACCATCTTGCCCAGGCTGGTCTTGAACTCTAGGCCTCAAGCAATCTTCCCAACCTCGGCCTCCCAGTGTGCTGGGATTACAGGTTTGAGTCACCATGCCTGGCACGTAATCCATGCATTGACACTCACCTCAGTTCTCAGCCAGCTTGCTGCAAGAGGCTGTAACACAGAATGTTCTTGCGACTGAGAAAGAGTGGTTAATGAACAGATCAGTCTGAGAAGTGTTGGATTGCTTTTGTTGGCACTTCTCACCCCAAAATTGCGTGGTTCTCAAACAAGAGACAGTACAGTGTCACAGTAAGGATAAAAGATTCGGGATTCAGCCTTAGTGTCCTCATTTGTAAAATGGAAATAAGAAGAATGCCTATTTCAGGCTGCACGTGGTGGCTCATGCCTATAATCCCAGCACTTTGGGAGGCAGAGGCAGGTGGATCACCCGAGGTCAGGAGGTTGAGACCAGCCTGGCTAACATGATGAAACCCCTCTCTACTAAAAATCAAAAAATTAGCTGGATATGGTGGCACACACCTGTAATCCCAGCTACGTGGGAGACTGAGGCAGGAGAATCGCTTGAACTCAGGAGGTGGAGGTTGCAGTGGGCCAAGATCGTACCACTGCACTCCAGCGTGGGCAACAAGAGCAAAACTCTGTCTCAAAAATAATAATAATAATAATAATAATAATAATAACACCTACTTTAAAGGTTAGTCATGAGAATTAAATGAAATAGTATAATACTTGTAAAGTATATGGGATAGTGCCTGGCATATAATGGGTACTCAATGTGTTTTTTTGGTTTTGTTTTGTTTGAGACAGTTTCATTCTGTTGCCAGGCTGGAGTGCAGTGGCACAATCTTGGCTCACTGCAACCTCTGCCTTCTGGGTTCAGGCGATTCTCCTGCCTCAGCCTCCCAAGAAGTTGGAAATACAGGTGCGTGCCACCAAGCGCAGCTAATTTTTGTATTTTTGGTAGAGATGGGATTTCATCATGTTGGCCAAGCTAGTCTTGATCTCTTGACCTCGTGATCTGCCTGCCTTGACCTCCCCAAATGCTGGAATTACCGGCCTGAGCCACCACGCACGGCCTGCAATGTGGTTTTTAAAAAAACTTTAATTATTATTATCGTTCAAACTTTATAGGTACAAATGGTAATTGTAAGTCTGGAGGAAGTCTATTTCCCAGATGGTGGGGGAGGCAGGTGAGTTGTAGGTTAGGAGGGGGTTTTTGGGCAAGGAGCTTTAACGCCCAGCCATACTGGAAACTGCATCCGAAAGGCCTGAGAAATCTACCCGGGACAAGTCTCTGGAGTTGCTCCCGTTCACTTTGTTTATAGTGTGGCATCGCAGCAAACATCACAGGTGCAGTGACGCAAACCTAGACCGTGTAGCCTGCTGTACACCTGGGCTATACGGTATCCCCTTTTGCTACTGGGCTACAAACCTGGGCAACGCGATACTGTGCCGAATGCTGTAGGCAGTTATAACACGGTGGTAAGTATGTGGGCATTTACACATAGAAAAGGTACAGTACAAATACAGCATTATAATTTTTGTTTTTGTTACAGAGTCTTACTCTTGTCACCCAGGCTTGAGTGTAGCGGCACTATCGCAGCTCACCACAACCTCTGCCTCCAAGCGATTCTTCTGCCTCAGCCTTCTGAGTAACAGGGACTACAGGAGCATGCTGCCATGCTCGGCTCATTTTTTTTTTTATTTTTAGCACAGACAGGGTTTCACCATGTTGGCCAGTTTGGTCTTGAACTCCTGACCTCAAGTGATCCGCCTGCTTTGGCCTCCCTAAGTGCTGAGATTACAGACGTGAGCCACTGTGCCTGGCCTACAGCATTACAATCTTATGAGACCACTGTTATTATACATGCAGTCCGTCATTGACATAAAGGTTGCTACGTGGTGCCTGATGGCATAATGAAAGCTACTGCGTATGGACCGCCTGGCAACGGGATCATTAGCAATATTCCCATGGTCACTGCAACAACACACTGGAAATAGCAAGCTCAAACAGCCCTTTACTATGTGGCAGCCACAGCTCTAAGTGGTTTACATCTATGCACTCATGACACTTATGAAGCCACTCCACAGATGAGGAAACGGAGGCATAGAAAGACTGAGAGTTATACAGCTTGTAAGTGGCAGAGCTGGGATTCAAGCCCAGGGAGGAGGACTCCTTTCTGGAGAGCAGTTTCGCAGTATGAATCAAAAGAAGGCTACACTTCCTCCCCGCATTAGTTGCTAGAGTTTTGCTACATCCCTTCCAGGAAGAGTAAGTGGAAACACATAAATTTCTAAGACAGGCAGACTTGGACTCAAATCTGGGCTCAATTCTTTATCAGCTGTATCATCTTTATCGAGTTGTTTGAAAGCTCTGACTTAATTTTTCTCATCTGTAAAATGGGAACAATCACCCCTATCTCAGAGAGTAGCTGTGAGAATTAGATGCAACACATATGAAGGAGCCTGTTGCCTGTTTTACAGTGCTCTCAGATTCACTAGGCTTGGCCTAAATGGACATTTTCTTTTCAAGCCTCCTTCATGACCCAAATCATTTCTGACTCATAACTAATCCTTTCCCTCCCTCCCTCCCTCCCTCCCTCCCTCCCTCCCTTCCTTCCTTCCTTCCTTCCTTCCTCTCTCCCTCCCTCCCTCCCTCTCTCCCTCCCTTTCTTCCTTCTTCCAATTTTTAGAGACAGGGTCTGCTGTATCACCCAGGCTGGCATTATCACAGCTTCCTGGAGCCTCAACCTCCTATGCTCAAGTGATCCTCCCACTCAGCCTCCCACCCTGGGACTATAGGTGCATATGACTGTTCTTGGCCATTTTTTTTTTTTTTTGTACAGTTGATGTCTCACTATGTTGCCCAGGTTGGCCTCAAACTCCTGAGCTCAAGTAATCCTCCTGCCTTTGCCTCTCAAAGCGCTGTAGGCATGAGCCACCATGGCCAGCCCCAGTAACTATTTCTGACTACATGTTAAATACCCTATACATAAGTCTTGGAGGTGGTTCTAGTTTATAATTCTATTTTCTTTCTCTGTATTTACCATCTTTGATTCTGTTTTTCTCTCATTCTATTTTTTTTCTCTCTCTCTTTTCTACTCTTCCTTTCCTACATGGATAATCTTTGCTTGGTCTTTTTTCTTATGGATAATTTTTGTTTTGGTCTAAATTGATTGTGAATAGAGAGGGAATGAACAATGGCTTCAAACACAATGTAGTCATGAAGATAACAAGAAATATCAATGAAGCCAGGCATGTTGGCTCACACCTGTAACCCCAGCATTTTGGGAGGCTGAGGCAGGTGGATCACCTTAGGTCAGGAGTTCGAGACCAGCTTGGTCAACATGGTGAAACCCCGTCTCTACTAAAAACACAAAAATTAACCAGTGTGGTGGTGAGTGCCTGTAATCCCAGTTACTCCAGAGGCTGAGGCAGGAGAATTGCTTGAATCTGGGAAGCGAAGTTTGCAGTGAGCTGAGATGGTGCCACTGCACTCCAACCTGGGCAACAGAGTGAGACTCCATCTCAGAAAAGAAACATCAATGTCCAGTATAGACAAAGATGGAAGATGTGAACACTGATATATTGCTGGCAGCTTAGAAGTTGATACAACCTTTTTGGCAATATGAGTCAAAAGATATAAAAGTGTGCACACTCTTTGACCCAGAAAATGTACTTCTAGGAAATTGTTCCAGGAAATAATCATTATCCATGGGATGTTTATATCAATTAGCTTTTGTGTGTAACAAACCATCTCAAACTAGATTAAAATCACAAACATTGATTATTTCTCATGTTCTGTGGTTCTTTGAGATTGGCCAGCTCAGCCAGAGCTAGATGGTTTAGCATGGTCTAGAATGGTTTCATTTACATGTATGGGCTACAGGTGGGATGTCTCAACAGTGTCTCTGTGTATTATCTTCTCCTCCAGTAGGCTAGCCCAGGCTTCCTCGTATGGTGGTCTTAGGATTCTCAGCAACAAAGAAGGGGCAAAGCCCAGTACATAAACACTTTTTTCAAACCTCTGCTTGCAACGCATTTGCCAATGTCCACATTGGGCAAAGCAGGTCACCTGATCCGGCCTGTTCAGGGATAGAGAAATAGACACTACTTCTTGATTGGAGGAGATACAAAACAATGTG